AAATTCAAAAATTGAGTTAGAGACGCAGAGAAAACGAATTCTAGGCTAGATTTTTGTGCTGAAAATGAATTTGGCATTATTTTTGACACAATTCGAGTGTTTTGAGTTGAAATTTCAAAAAAAAAAGGTTCAAAAACTGAATTCGAGGAAAAACGCGGCGGCTGTCTTAGCTTCAAAGCTGTATATCTTAGAAACTAAAAGCGCTATTTTTCAATCTCAACCACTCAAAATAGGCCAAAACCAATGCCGAATTCATTTTCAGCACAAAATTCTACCCTAGAATTCGTTTTCTCTGCGTCTCTAACGCTTTTTTTTATCTTTCGGGATTACTGTAGCTCCGATTCTGGGCAAACACCGAAATTCGCAAACCACTCGGAAAAGCAACTTTTTAGGGGTAAAATTAGGCGGGAAATTTGAATTTGGCACTGTTAAATGTCTAAAATCGAGTTGTCAGAGAGAAAGTCAGGAATTTTCCATTTTTCAAAAACAATTTTTCCGAAAATAATTTTCTGGATTTTTTTTTGAATTTTCAAGCTCAACCATTCAAAATAAATTTAAAACAACGCAAAAATCAAATTCAGCACAAAAATCTAGCCTAGAATTTGTTTTCTCTGCGTCTCTAACTCAGTTTTTGAATTTTCCCAGGATTACTGTAGCTCCGATTCTGTGCAAACACCAAAATTCCCAAATAACTCTAAAAATTGGCATTTTAGGGGTAAAAATAAGCGCGGATTCGAATTTTGCATTCAAAATTGTCTGAAATAGCCTTTTCGGAGAGAAAATCAAAATTTTTGATTTTTCAGGAAAAAAAATTTTCAAAGAAAAACTTTCTGGGATTTTTTTTGTATTTTTCAGAGTAAGCCATTCGAAATAAGTCGAAAAGAGTGCCAAATTCCAAGTCAGCACAAAAATCTAGTCTAGAATTCGTTTTCTCTGCTTCTCTAACTCAATTTTTGAATTTTCCCAGGATTACTGTAGCTCCGATTCTGTGCAAACACCAAAATTCCGAAATCACTCTAAAAAGCGTCTTTTAGGGGTAAAAATAGACGGGAAACTCGAATTTTGCATCAAAAAATACTCTGGAAATCGTTTTCGTGGAGAAAAGTGAGAAAAATACCGGAAAATCACAAAAAAGAAGAAAAATAATTATTTTCATTATTTTTAAAGCTAAAATTTTAGAATAATTTTTGAAATAATTGTTTTTGTCATTTTAACTAACTTAAAATTCTATATTTTTGACCTATTTTTTAACCCTTCTACTCTTCGAAAAGCCGCCCAAAAAAGGTTACAAAGGCACTAAAAAGAGCGAAAAGAGACATTTTTGTCTCTCTTTTGCCACTAAAAAAATAGAAAAAAAAGGATAGAAAATGTGAGAGCTCAAAGCTCAACTCAATTTGACCTT